CAAAGAATAAATAGCAATAAATACATAACAATTTATTAATGTAATTATAACGGTCGTTAAGGCACATCTGATTATTCCACTAGAACGTTACATGATAGAATTTCAAGAAAAAAAAACTAATGCACTAAGTCTGTGTCCATTATTTATGTTAGGTAGTAAATCTATTTGACAGACGGACAAACACATATATAAGCAGATGTCTACCGCTAAATCGATGGTTAAAAATATACTATATAAGATCCATATAGAATCCAATGTTTGATTTTATGCGTTACTAACATTTTGACAAATCTAATATAGCCTTCATTCCTGATTGAGTAAAGAGCATCAACAATAATTTAAAATTAAAAATCAATTTTATTCTATGTAAATATTTCATAATTAACGACTGATTAAGTACATTAATCACAATCACATAAATATTAACAAAATTCATATAAATTCAGTTCAAATACTAAGAAAATAAATAAATTCATAGAAAAGGTCCTTTGGTTCGGTTGGCACTGTAATGCAGCTTCCCCTCTTCATATCCTGCGAGTATTGTTTCAACTCAATTAATTTGGATTACAAACAATCAAAATGGCGTTTGTTGTGCTCGAAAAGTAGATGAATTTCTGATGATGCCGGATTCGCCTTAATGAGAAAAGTAATGGACTAAATCAACGGATTGTAGATGTAGATCCATTAGGTTTATTAAAAAAATATCCCATTAACGTTTTAATTGCGTCTTTGTTTCAATTTGGCAAACAAATATAAATTTATTATGTACATTTTGTTTTGTATTGAAATTATTTTTTATTTATGAATTTTGACAACAAATAAAAGTTTTTCGAATAAGCGAAAAGGGTTCTATTTTGGTTGTGGAAGTTCCATGCGCCAACCACGAGTATTCATGGAATTCATATGAAAGATAACATTAATTTTATTGCATAAAATCCTATGGAAGCATGTGAAAAACTGTTTTTTTTTTGAGTAATTAAAGTAATTAAATGAATTTTAATAAGTATTCTTAAGTATTTAGTTATTCTTAGGATAATCTTCATTTTTCATATCGAAGAATATAGAGATATGTTAATAAATTTCTTGAATGGCATATGCGGAATGTTTAATTATTGACAAAATAGTACCAATCAAATATTATTTAAATTTTGTGACAATTTATTTAGCTGATCTAAACACTTCTGTATTTTTTCTGTGATTCTTTTTAAAAACAAAATGACTTCCACCTATCTCTAATGTTGGGTTTTGGATCCAGATACCTAGCATGTGTCATTTCAGATGTAGACTTTTGTATATATTTTACAATAAGTTACTTACCATTGTACTCTCATTAGTGTCCCAACATGATAGCCACAATCTTAGTCACATCAACTGTTAAATGGATGGAAAATCAATGAAAACTGCTGTTTAAGGTCTCTGTATCTACATTATAATCAGCAAGAATAGTAGAAATTTCTTTAAATTTTTTATTGAAAGCATGTTCTATACTTAACATATCTGAATATATATTCTTAACTGGATTTGCGCCTATTAACAACGACCTTTCAAAGAAAGAAGTGCAAATTCTGTGAAATTCAGGAGCAGGAGCATCTTAGTTCCTGTGATTGTCGGCAAATAAATTAAATATCTCCATATGGCTTTCAATAAACCTGAGGTGTAAGATAAAGCTGAGGTGTAAGATCTTAAATCAAGCTATATTATTAGGTTTAAAACGACGCTAAAATTGTTTGGATCAGCTAAATTTTTTAGGGATCTCGATGTACAATTGGTTGTTTTAATAATAATAATAGGTATTAATATGGGTAGAGACAAAAAAATATGAGTTAAGAAATTCTACTAGAAAGAACTTTAGATTGTTTAAGTATTTTCAGATCATATATGAGTTTGATTTGTTGTGTTAATAGAGTAGAGAAAACTCGTACAGAAAACTACATTTTATAATTCACAACTGCCTTAAATAAGTGAGCTCTATTCAAGTACTGCATTTTTATTTATATTCCTAGTTGCGTCACCTCTTCTATTCTAACATGTATCTGTATTTTAAACTATAAAAATGTTTCCTTTTTCAATAAATTTATTTACGTTTAATACAGAGTCTTTAGATCGTGTCTCCGATGGAGTGATCAAATTGGGATGCACTAACCGCATTTTATGTATGAGACTGGAAAACGCACGCACGCAACAGAGACGCTTGGATAGGAATGCTGCGTCTGGCCGAAACCAGAGTAAGTAAGCCCTTATTATACATTTAGCTGATACTTAGGTTTCAAACAAATGTTTTACAATTTTTTGTCTGATACAGAATAAAAATATAAAATCAATGAAATGAAGATGCTCAGAAACCAGTGGCGAAAACGTTGTTCAATTTATTGAATTACAAGGATTGAACTAAATCGGAGGTGATGCTGGGATGAGCATTCAAGCTCAGAAAACTTGACGAAGTTAACAGAATTAAAACACTGTTATTATCTGTGCTTCATGCAAATCAAAATTATAGACCCGCTTTCATGGTTTAGGTTGGGTTATACCGGCAATCTTAACAATCCACTTCGGCTTATTGGCCTATTGTGTTACCGTATAAAAAACTGAGAGATTTAAAGATCCCCTTAAACCTTTGGCAAAGCTTAGAATGATCGTTAGAGGGAGGTCCTCGAGTTGAGAGGTCCTCAAAAAATTAAGCTCTTAAAAAAAAAATCACACCGCGCATACACTCGCTAGTTATAATGTATATGTGGATCACTATCATCGTCGTACTCACAACTGCGACAGAAATGATTAAACAAAAGATATAATTTTCTTGCAAGGTTCCCTAATCGGCTGTGACCCGTCAAGAAACCTATTACAAAACTAAAGTTTTTACGGAGTCTTTTAATGAGAGTTTTAATGAGTTTTTCCACACTCATATACCAAAAAAGAAATGGTAATCATGAAGAAGATAACAATGTGGATTTATAGAATATGGTTATTAGGAACTCGAAGGAATTTGTAAGGGAAATATCGTTATTGTGACAAATTCTTAGGTTGGATAAAAGTCACCATGCGCTGTAGAGCCAAAGGATGTTGATGACAATATGTCCAAGCCAATGAAATAAATCATTGAAGAGATAAGTGGTTTGCTAGTCCTTAAATTTTTACTAAAACTTAATGAACTTTATTTTTCCTAAATAAATTGGTGTGTAGATCAACAAAATTATATAAAGTTTAGATATACTAAAAATAAAAGAAAGTACCTTAAACTTCCCGCTACTAACTGCTACCCTTTCGTCTGACTATTGTTGTGATGTCCTATATTTAATTGCACTATTTTGATTTTATTTTATCTAAAAGCCAAAACCTAATGTATGTCACTCTTACGAGCTACGTTTGGATGTATTCTAAGTGCGATTAGTGGATTTTGCATAATCAAATGCATATAAGAAGCTCCTTGGTCGGGAATTTTAAATTTGATACGCCAGAGATAAGCAAATAAATGCGTCACTTTTTGTTCGCATTCGCATAAATCCGCAAAGTATATAAATTAGTATGAAAATACATAAGCGCCTAAGTAGATAGCAGAGCATCTGCTACATTCGCCTGCAGAAGAACAGAAACGACAAGATGAGAAAAAAATCTGCAATATTGCGAAAGGTGGAAGGTGAAGGTGGCAGAAAATAAAAATAAAAGGAATTAAGCATAATAAGGCAATAAGAACATATAACATAAGTCCAAATACACAAAAACATTGCATTGCATTGTTGTTATTGTTGGCATTATTGTTTTTATAAATGTTGTTGTTGTGAATGTTGTTATTGTGGTTGTCTTCAATAATGCAAAACAAATCAGAAAGATTTTAGCAGTTCTTAAGTGTAATAATGTAGTGGGGTAGTTGCAGTAAGAATGTCGTAAGGCAGCAAGCTATAAGGAGAAACGGAATCCAGCGTCTCATTCATTAGCATACCTCGTGCGTTTAGTAGCTGCTCTGACTTTGCAACCCATACCACTACGCTTTCTTAGTAGACTCACAACCGCGCATACCCATTGTAGCATGCACGACGCAACGGCTCAATTCAACGATTCAACGAATAATAATGTTTATATATTGCCAAAACATAAAAGCATTAATTTAGTCATTATCTGCTTAAGATACGGCAGCAGCAACAGCAGCAGCACAGTAGCCTCCATTAGACAAGCCAAACGCTAAAGGCAAATACACACAATAGGGTACTTCCAGTAGTAATGGGTGTGCAGATATTGAAATGACATTAGCTAGAGTAAAAGAGATGCAAAAGCATTTATGAATAATAGAAAAAATTAAGTTCATGGTTCATGTTTTCCTTCAGAGTCGGCAATGAGAAATAAAAATAAACTATCCGGCTAAGGGCAGTGACAATGACCAGAGCACATCTTCACTATCTCTTGTCAACAACTGCAACCTCCGCGACAGCCATCCTTGCACAGAAAGCAATCGAAAAGAGAGTTCTTGTTGCTGGTTTTCTTTTTTAATACTTTGTATAATAGAAAGCATTACAGTATAAAATTGTAACGCCTACTTTTTGTATTGGATTGTGGATTGTCTGTTTTTTCCGTCATTTATAGAAAGTGACAATTGGAATTTTTGTCTCCGACATTGCAACAATAATTAGGCAATGCACATTTTTCCTGCGATTTACCCAAGAACTTGCGGAAATATTTCTTTATTTTATGAATGAATCCGAGACCGAACGCATAAAATAAATGAATGAAAATTGTGTGAAAATGGGCGTATAACAATAATCCACCCCTGTGTTTGCAAACTGCTTTCCACTAGGTAGCGCTCAGTAACAATTGTGTGACTCACCCCAGAGCGCAAACAATCACATAACCACAAACAAATCATACACCCAACAAATACGCATCACACACACACACACACACACGCACATTACCACAGTTCACAAAACACACCAAACACCAATACCTGTTTGGATGAGTTCCACTCATCTGCTCTCATGCTGAGAGCGCTATATGGCATAACATTCAATATGGTAGCTGTCGAGAGGCGTGTTTTCGCTCATAAAATAGCATCGCACTGTGTTGAGTTGATTTGGTTGTGCATGCGTGTGTTAACCACTGCACAAGTTGAAAGGAAGTCTGTTGCGTTGCTGAACGACAATGTAGTTTCGGATTTCGAGCAAGCAGGCTTCATCATTAGTCGCGTGTTTAAAGTTAACAAATCAATTAATCATTTAAGTCGTGCGTGTACTAATTTCGTTCAGTTTTGAAGCAATTTAGCATTTAAGCTTAATGAAATTGTGTAGTGCTTTTTAAAAAAAAAAACAAAAAATACCAAAATAAAAACAAAATTCAATAGTGAATTTTATAAGTAAAAAATCTTATTGAAATAAAAAAAAAATAAAGTTTTTAAAAGCTGAAAAAAGTGATTTCAATCAAAATTGACACAAAAACAACATAAATATTTTTCTCATTTATTGTTTACAAATAAATCGTCAAAATTCTGTCTTCACTGTGGACAGCTCCAGCCCAACTTGTTGGCGGTCTGGAGACGAAAGGTCACAACCACTCGAAATTTAAAATAACCGTAGTGAATACTCCTAGTCCGAGTCCAACTTCGTTGCCACCTTCACCTCCGCTCATAAGCAACAACACTACGACGCCGACCTTGCAGCAACTTAATATGGTTGAGACAACAACATCGCCAACAGGTATTGCAATAAAGCGTTGTGCGTCAAGTCCGCTTAGTGAACAACAACTGCAGCAACATCAGCACAATTTGCACCAACAACTACAACAACAGCAACAACATTTGCATAACAGTCTTAGCACAAGCAACAATATGAATAACAACAATATACTGAGCACCAATAACGGCGGTTCCAATCTATCACGACAAAATATCAGATCATCTCCTGTTCATCAGAATACTGTGCAAAATACAGCGCGTGCGAACGCCGCCTATTTGACGACAGCAATGCTCTTTAACTCGCAACAATGCGGCTATTTAGGACAACGTTTACAAAGCGCTGTCTTTCAACATCAGCAACAACAGCACCAACAGCAACAGTTGTCCCAAACTCCCTCAGATGATGGCTCCCAATCTGGTGCTACAATAATTGATGACGAACGACCGATGCGTACGACCGTCGGTACAGCTACTACAGCTGCAGCTGCTGCTGCCTCACTTTTTACGATCGATAGTATACTGGGCTCTCGATCGGCGGCGGCTGTTAATAGCAACAACAATAATAATAACAACAACAGCATAAACAATAACAGTATTATGCATATAAAACGCTCTGAATCGCCGGCTTCACCTAGTTCCAATTCAAGTTCGGCTGCTACAAGTCCCATACGCCCACAACGTGTTCCCGCCATGTTGCAACATCCAGGCTTACATTTGGGCCACTTAGCAGCTGCGGCAGCAACTGGCTTTGCAGCATCACCGTCGGATTTTCTAGGTATGAAAATATATCTTTAGAAATAAATCAAAAAATAATTAGAAATAAGTATTTACATAATATGTGAGTCAGATTATATATGTAGGTTCTTTCAAAGTTCATACCTCTCTTCCAAAACTTCTCTTCCTATTAATTAATTAACTTTGTTTCGTGTATAAATAATTTTTCCGCCTGCGAATTATTATTTATAATAAAAAATATTAACCAAAAAAACTAGTAAACTAAATAATATATGGATATATTTTCGCTGTTAATTGAAGTTTGGAACGGGTGATCTATGCAGTATGTATTGTTTGCTCTAAAGGTCATGAAGGCAATGAACACGTTGGCTCTTTTATTAACACCACTTCTTAACACCTGCGAATTTTTTTCGATAGTTATTACCCATTTAATAGAATATCTGTTTTGATTTGTACTATAAAGCTCTGTACTTTTTGTCGAAATTTGAACTCTGCTAATGGGGTTCACGAACCTTCTTGTTATAGTGAGCGGTTCATAATTTGATCTTGGACTTGTTAGTTCTTAAACATATGTTACTCTATTGTTAGAATAAAGGCAAAATGTCCATTTTTAAACTTACTTCTTAACAATAGTTCAAATTTTAGTTGACTTATTATTCGGAAAACGAATTTAATTCGGATATGAAAATAAAATTATTTATGCGTACTATCAACATATACTCGACATATACGGCATTTGTCTGGTACATACTTTTCAACATATACTATATATCATATAAATCGTATGCGAGTATATTAAGAATTTGAAATGATAAAAGACGAAATTTTTTAATAAAAGGTATTTGAATAAATGAATCTATTCGAAAGTATATTCATAATTTAGATATATTGATTTCTGGAGATCGATTGTTATAGAATTTTTATATTATATAATATCCAAATATAACAATTTCATATTTTTCCTAATATGTATTCTAACAAGGAACTAAGTCCTGTTTGTATTCAGGGTATTGTCAATAACTGACTTTATTATCTCAGTAAGTAATATTAGGTTTTTGTTTTCAATCTTTAAGATCACTTTTGGTTGAAAGTTTGCCTTCCCCTAATCTTTTGGGAAAAACCTATACCTTAATGTTAAAGACTCAACAAATAACTGTTGATGAAGCTGTGAACTAGGAGACGAGAACAAAACCACTATTCACCTGATCTATGAGTTCCAAATACTCATTATTTATTCTATGTTTAAGTTTCGTAAGTAAACTCGCTACTCGCTCACTCTGACACTAGTCAACGCTAACTAAAAACCAATTTAATCTCAAAATGATTCTTTCCAATTTAAATTTTTGTCCGATACAGAACAAATTTTACTTCCTTGATCCAATGAATTTAATTTTATTTTAATTACTTAACATTAATATACCGATTATTGCCACAATGAATATGTTTTTTAAGGCGCTATACCTCTGATTTTACTTTATATAGACTGGCACTGATATTCACCATATGGAATGGTAGGAAATTATAAAATAATACTATAAAAATACTATATGCAACTATTTCTAAACTATTTCTATATCGTATCTAATTCCATTTTAAGTTACAATGTTGAACAATGTTGATTTTGATGATAAATCATTTTGTTGTATATGTTAGGTATACCGCCAACGTAGGTATGCTCTACAGTAAATACAGTGCATCTAAGTTAAATTCTTAGAAATGATAAGAGGTGTTCATTTCAAAAGTAGTAGTAACCTTCTTAGTTATATCCTACGATGAGCTTAGTATGTTTGAACTCAATTCGGAATAACGAAGACCGATATTTATTCCTCAAAAAGCAGCAGCCTATCTAAAAATATTCTAGATCAGGACTGTCCAGATCAGATAAGATCGCGGGCCAATACAAATAGGTTGGAGGGCCGCAGAAATAAATACATACGTTCATAACTTTTTCGGAGAAAAAATAAAAATACGGCGATTATGATACTTATTATTAATTCTTCATTAATTTATCTTTCACAATTCTGTCATTATCAGCATTAATTATATGAGTATTGCCTTACGAAAAATATTGTGATGTTACTAAAATAGGTATAACAAAGAAAAATTTGCCTAACTGTGGTAGATTAGAAGCATATCGGGAGCCGCTGGTCTCTGGTCGCATGAGGCCTGTGGGCTGTGCTTTGGACAGCCCAGCCCTGTTGATTTGACTTGAATTCGTACCAATGTAGACAGATATTCATTACTCAAATATCAGTATCCTATTTAGTTAGTTATATTCCAGAGTGAGTAGTGTCTTTCTAACAGCTATTTTCTTTCAACTTTATGAGTCTTCTTTCGACTTATCAAGTCTTTCAACTTTATGCAGTGGAAATTATTTTAATTCCTGAATTTTATTCACTTCCTTTGGTCCATTTCTTCAAGCACTTTTGGTTCTTTAAATAGGAATATTTAGTCCTTTTAAACATGATCAGACTAACTAGAAGGGTAAACCTTTTTTAGACTGTAAATATGTGAGCTAAACTCACATTTCCTTTAAAACTAATCGACTTTTTTTGGCTGATAATAATCAATCTTCTTTAATATTTATATAAATAAGTTCAAATTTTGATATGGATGAGGGAACTATTAGTAATGTTTTTATAAATGTTTACTAGAAATTAGTTCTTAAACATTCTCATTTGTATTTGAATTGTCGTTAGAATAAATCCTTTGAAATTTCACTCTAATGTGGTAGCCTTTCCATGTTAATCATTCCGCTGAGGTTACGAAAACGTTGCTTAGGGAACAAAGTTTATCTTATGAGCCTCAGATACATTTTGCATGTTTGTTTTTTTCTTTTGTATTAAAGCTTATTTTATAGATTTCCGACTTTACACTTATGCTTAATTTTTTAAGGTTTAAACAGTGTAGCACAATGTGGCGTAATGCCGTGCTTAAATCTGGTACTTAATTTTTAACAACGCGTAGTTAAATCGGTAATATCCTTTAATAACCTTTTACTTCGATTAGTGCTGCCACACAGAACAAAAAAAATGTGAGTGAGGTAGTGGCAAGGACTCGCAGCTACTCACAGCTAAAGCCACGGCACAGCTTCAATACGCAAGCTACCCAAGGCAATCACGCACTCCACTGAGGCTACAAATACCACCCTCTTCCAAGGTTGTGCGCCGTCGACCTGTTTTTGCTTCGGCTTCGCTGCGAATAACACCTCAAGGGTACTAAAATGTGGCATAGAACGCAGATAAAAAATAATATTTCAAGTAATTTTCAAAAGATTTTCAATGGATTTTATTTAACATTGCTGAAGATGTATATTTACAAGTGAATTATGTGCAAATGGGCAATGAACCATAAAAGATGATTTTAAAAAAGGATGAAAAAAACCACCGACTCTAATAAAAACCAAATAAATTTTTTTTCACTTCCTTTTTCCTTTGCCATACAATTTGCCATACACATTGAAGAAGCGATTTGCATTTCCGTAAACATCGGATAAATTTTATTTAAAATCAAATGAAAGCTTGAGGGTGGGGAGGAATTGATCAGGTTACAATGTTCAAATATTAGAAGTATTTTCACCTTCGACTAGTATGCAAACTGCACTGCAAATGAGGAGGTTGAAGAATAAATGTTCGACTTTCTTTACATCCTTTTCAAGGATTTATGTTAATTCAGGCATAACATATGCTTAGAGAAAAATTTTAAAATACGAGTATATCTTTGAATGCATTTGTTAAATCCTTGAATAATGTTAGCGGTTAAGTCCTTCTCCGCCTCCGCATAATTCATAAAATTTACTAAATATTCTAGTAAAAAATATTTGCCTTTTTTTACAACTTACGTATTCGTACAATATCGTCAGTAAAAATATGTCAGTGAAACATTTTACAATAAAAATCTGGTTTGAATATTAATTAGTATTTTCTTTTTCCGGTGATAAAAGTCACATTTCCATTACATACTTTAAATGCATTTTGTTATGAAGAGAAAGTTTGTACTAACTGGTAAACACACAATGGCTTACTTATGAAGGATACAATCTAACTCTACTTTTACATAACCTTGAAACCTAATCCCCATCTTTAAGAATACTTTATGTTAGTACAGTTTAGTTCTACATACATTCTTCAGCTATCGAAGTGCAAATCGTGCTTCACCATTATTATGCCAATCATAACAGGCCTTAAAGAAAATGGACATACCATACTTCTCAATTATTTTCACTTTTATTATATGTCATTTTTTAGTGCCTGTTTCTAAAGCCCGCTGTTCATATATTGTTTTCCCAATCACATATCTACAGTTTTTTTGTCTTATAAATATTTTGGACATGCACTTTACTGTATATATAACATTTGGCTGCTTCACAATACTTCCACTCCATGTCTGCTTCTCCATTGCTCACAGATCAAGAATTCATTGTTCTTCCAGGACATTGGTTTGCTTCACTATTGTTTCTCAAATCTATTATTTACCTACTACTCAGCTATATTTTTCACAGATTGCTCTACTCAAATCATTTTCATCGCTCATTTGGTCGTTTAATTTCAACCATTTCTGAGTTCATAGTAAGTTTGTCTCTGAAATGGTTCCAATCTTAATGATTTCTCGATTGCTAACATCAACTTAGGAATCTCTTGTCTCTTGTCAATCATATAACATGTATATATATCCGACTGAGTTCTGTCTACCACCAACAGCACTTCAGTATCCCCGTTTTAATAAGCCAGTGTGTTGTCAAAAATGTAGTCGAATTCTACCAACGGCTCTTATATGTATCACTATTTGTAACTTTAAACTTTAAATTTAAATTTAAGAAAGATGTCTTAACGCATCTCTAAAGTCGAATATATATGATCTTCAGACTTGTAAACGTATATAGTAGTTTATAGTAACTATTAAGGTCTTTAATGCCGGTAAAATAATTCACGAAGAATTGCTTTATATATCATCATGATCTTCTGTTATTTTACCAAACTCCTGAATTTGTTTTCTAAATTATTAAAAATATATAAACCTTTACAGATCTACGCAACTGTAGAAATAAGTCAGTAGAAAACTTGTCAGTCATAATGTCTTTTTTGAATTCAATTATTTAATATATATCTATTTTTGGTATTCATCCAATAAATATTATGCAATATTTATATAATCATAGTCGAGGAGCAGAAATTGATCTAAATAATCTAAATATACCACTTATATCATACAAATAATTATTAAAATCCTTTTAGGGTATAAAACAATTAAACATATGATTGGGTAAATCCAACGATATGCAGACATCTGAACGCAAATGTCCCTTATCTAGAGCATGTTAGAGATCTTGCGCATCTGAATTGAATGAAAAATCTATACTAACAGACTGAATATTCTCTTCAATGTTTCCTACTGCAATTGTGAGGGAAGCAAAGTAAATGTTTTACATTATCTTTGTTACTGTTATGTCATCTAACCTTTCCAGTTTTATATTACAATACAAAAGGTCTGAGTAAATTTCTGAAATTACAGAAATAATCTCAAATCTAACCTATAAAAACCCTAGCTCTAACTGTTGTATAAGTCCGTTCTCTTTAGAAACTTATTAGTTTTCTTTGCGACTAATTCAGTGACTAGATACTAGTATATACCGAAATTTTTATTTTTAAGCAAATATCGTAATGTATATAACATATACATATATACATATTTTTTATTTATATATGGGTAATATTATATAAACTTTCAGTTATTAAACTCGTCTTTGTTCGTTTCGTTCTTCGTAGTGTAGATAGGATGTTTTCATTAAAAGAAATATATTTAAATACAATAGATAATTCATATTCTTATATTTATATTTATATATTTTTTAAAAGTTTAATTTATAATTCTTTCTATTACACTTTTGTAAGTATTAGTTGTTATTTTCTTATGAATTCATTCCGTCGTCTATAGAATATATAGTTTTATGTAGTAATATAGTTTTTTGATTATTATTCTTTAGGCTTTTGAGATTTATTGAGGTATCAAAAAAGCGTTAATATATTGAATAATTTATTTAAATGTAAAATCGTGAACTGTAAGTTCCGAGCTTAGAAAAATAGTTAAGTATGTGTTCAATTTATTTAACTGATAGTAAATTACTAAAGGTCTATGTATCTAAAAACGTATTAGTGATATAAAACACAAGTTTAGACTATAACTTCTGAGCCTAGAGAACAATTCATTCGATTAAAATATATCAGTGGTTTAGGTATAACTGTAGAAAGGCAAAACTATTTACCAAATTTTTAGGAATTTCTTTATGTCAAAGAGACAGACTGTAAGCCCACAGTCTGTTTTACTAATGAGATCAAAGTTTTAACTCCACAATAGAAATGTTAATTTTGTAATTCATAATGTTCATAAATATGAATTACTTACTTAGTATTCCAAAGCAAGTTTATATAAATATTATAACCATGTCTGTATTTATCCTAATAGGTTTTACTAATCCATATTAGGATAAATTCCTTTCTAGCTTTATAAGTCATAAAGGATGTAGGGAAGTGTTTTGTTTAAAGTTTTTGTACGCCAAAACATATGAATTAATACAGCAAACAGAAATATGTTTTTTAATCGCACTGATTTTGTAAAAGGCATCGCTCCTCCATATAACCATGGTTATGGGTCCGCATATCTACAAGAATGAGTACATATTACGACAAGAATGCACTGGGTTGGATGAACATTTGAAACTGCGGTTGTAGTGCTTTCCATATGTAAACATCCGAGCATGCATTTTTAAGGATTTATTTTTCACATGAGCTGCCGTGATTGCGACTTTGTTTTTATATTGAAAACAGACGGCGTACAGTAGGCGTATTTGCTACTTTTACCACTCAAAATGATGACTAAAATAGCATATGCAATTTTTTAATATGCATTTTTCTTTATAAGAGACTTTAATTTAATTTTTATACTTTAAATAAATAAAAAATTTTATATGTACTTGCATAGTTAATATAAACATCATTATCTTCCCTATGCTTTGTAGTTGGAATTATAGCCACTGTGCATCAGCAATTATACTGTTCCATTTATAAAAATTTATTTATTAAGATATTTTATATACCAATCACCTTTGCATTCACTCTATGTTTATTTAAATATTTTATTGTTTTGCCTGTGCTTTTTTTTGTGATAGTGGCGTACCCGAATTTTTATCCAAATTATATGCATGCAGCAGCAGTAGCTCATGTGGCAGCTGCTCAAATGCAAGCGGCACATGTAAGCGGTCATGCTCCTGGTCTATCACATCCCGGACATTCACATCACACACATCACTTGCATCATCCACATCACTCACATCATGTTGCCGCACATTTGGGTCATGGTCCACCGCCTAAAAGAAAACGGCGCCATCGCACCATATTCACAGAGGAGCAATTAGAACAGCTAGAGGCGACCTTCGATAAAACCCATTATCCTGACGTAGTGCTGCGTGAACAATTGGCATTAAAAGTCGATCTTAAAGAGGAAAGAGTGGAGGTAAGTACTTATTAGTTTAGTAATAATAAATTATATTAATAATAACACAAAGTTTTATACTCACAAAGCTAAAGTTTAATATATATATCTTATCATTCATAAATACTCTTACCTTTAATTCGAGGATTCCAAAGAATCTTCAACTAAAATCGAATTTCTTGAGCTAAAAATTCAGATTTTGTGAGATTCTATTTTTATTTCAGAGTTTCCCAAGTTTGCAGAAATTGGTATGTTATTTAGTAATAAATTTATACAGAATTTATTTAATTAATCTATCAATGTCATAAATTGTACAATAAATTTATAAATTGAGCATCATAAAAACTCAGAGAAATATGGAAACAATAATGTCATCCGTATATAGTTTCTTACCATGTTTAATAGAATAAATACCGCTGACGATTTCTTAACAACAAAAAAAATCATTTTAAAAATCTTCCATCTGTTAATACCATTCGAAATACAAGTCATTAAAGAAAGAAAGACTTACAAAACTTTAAATAACTCAAAAACCGCTTTTCGATATTTTGATCATGCCTGTATATATATAAATACATATATATAGTATAGATCCTATCTTTATACTCATTAGAAGCTATACTAGATCTAACGCAATCAAGGGAACGCCACATCACAGCTCTTAGACAGTTAAGAGACGATTAAAAAAAATACTAAAAAAGTAGTTTAGATTTAAGAGCTTTTCTTAACGAGCTTTCCATAACAGTGGGCCAATGGATATATTGATCTAAAACTATAAAATATCAAAACAGTTTTATGCTTTAACTGGAGAACAAAAAAGTGGACGTACTAAAGTATCCATGCTCTTAAAACTGATACGTCTTAAAGTATTTCTTCTGTAACTGAACATAGATTATATGAGTGAAACTGTTCTCAAACAAAAATCAAAACATATTTATCCATGATATAAAAATATATATATATACATAAAAATCTGAAAAAGGATATACTAATAATAATTTTACTAAGTAATGTCATAACCGACTGCGTTTTAGGTAATGAGACACTGTAGATAGATTTTTACGTTCCAAAACCAAACATCAGGCTTCAACTGGTAACAGAAACATGAAACTCGTTTACTGAATTGAGAGCAATATCGTCTCTTTGTCTATGGGCTGAATTCTTAAGCTATATACTAGATACATTAGACATATATATAACTTCATTTTAATCAGCATGTCTTAATAATTATAATCTCGTATTAGGTGTTGTAAACTACGAAATTACTCATTATGATATAACCTAGTTCATTTAGTCACTGAATGTGATGATATAGCTAGGAAGGAAGTTAAGCACTTTAGTTTATACTCACTTGAAAAGGATGTTCAAGCCTCAGAACTAAGCATTTTCTGGACTTCATTAAATATGATCGTTATTATCCACAGCTTAATAGTTCATTAATTATCTAGTTCTGCCTCACAATCCTTCTTTTGTAATCCTAAATAATGTTGTCGTTCGCTAATTGTATGCCCATAAGGTTTTCGAATAGTTTTTAACTCCGTCGACCCAATTCTTTTTTGCTGTTCTCAAGTTTTAACAATTAAGTATAATATAATAAGAGAAATTTATCATTGTCTTGTGAAGGAGTGGCAAAGCAGTGGCGAATTAAACATGCAGGAAACCTGGAGGGGGGTTCCTTTGAATGCTGTAAAAAAAAAACAGAAAAACTTGTTTTATACAATATACAAAGACAAGTAATCAGTTGTGTATTGGAAAAAGTTATATTCAAAAAGTAAAAGTACTCATTTTTAGACACTCATATCATCATTCTCATATATTATTCACGATTTTTTGAAAACAAAAGGCATTGAGGTCCTGTAAAATCCCCCTTTAGCCAATAAAGCAGCATAATGCATCTAATAAATTAAAAAAGAAGTACTATCTCACAATATCTATGCATGTGATTGAGTTTATAATATAAATTTTATAAACAATTTAAATTTTCTTGTGAAGACTTATTTTTTACTTAAAATTCATAACAAAAATTAAAAGTGATTTGATGGTGTCACCGCGATATCACATTGCCAAAAAGCTGCGTATATATAGATAAATACTAAAATGTGATAAAAGAAGCCATTAAGTGTATGAATTAACCCTTAGGTTGTGTAACACCAAATAGTGTCCATCATCAATTGCATTACCCGAACCTTGGAAGTATGAGAATAAAGTATCTTGAGAGCACGCCAACTTCCCACTTACGCATTTCCATAGCAAGCAACACAGTTGAGTAGAGCTGATACCTTGAACAGTTCGGGTCATTAGAGATGCCTTACGGCGAATAGTTAATACTCGATTGTCAACGCACATTATTGTTATTGTATTCGCACCGCTTACCATATCCATATCACCGTCCTTAGAAGTTTCCTATAATCACAACTCTAACTCTTATTGCAATTGTAGTGTTGTACTTCTCGCAATTACTGTTGTTTCTGATAATTATCTTAATTGTTATACAAATGTCCGCAAGTGTGTTAGTTTATGGAACGTTATGGATATAAGTTACATCCCGCACCACCCATCAACGCTATTCAGAGGAACATAGGAAAGCCTAAATGTGTCATCGTTATACGTTTAAAGTTTAACTCCTTAAGACGAAATGTCAACAATTTTGGAATGGTTCGGTCGCAACTGCTGATGCAATGGGTTGTCATAACAACAAAATGCTTGCTAATCCTTACAAATGCATTAGCTCAAGCACTTTTCACTCCGCCGACAATCATGGTTTGTTGTGGATTTCACGCCGTGTACAAGCGTTTGACATTCTGTGATAATTAATTGGCAATCAATGCGTCCAAATTAAATTGTCAACTTATGTTGTTTGTCAGCTCATAAAAAAATCTGTTGACAAATTGTAGCGCTAAAATGACTCGCTACTCATCCTCATCTTCAACCTCATCCTTATCCACGACGACTTCATTACAAACGCTCTGGAATGGTATTGTACCCTCATTGTCGCATTTAGCCTCAACGCTTCTTCACCAAGGGAACTAAAAGGGTAAACACTTCACAGCCGCTCTCAGTGATACTTTTTATTTGCTTTTAAGTTGTTTTGCCGTCGAAGTGATATTTTAAAATGGATTTTTTGTTTATGAGTTTTAAATACAATATCCCGAATGTAAAAAAGAAAAATAAGAAAAATAATAACAATTTAACGTACAATATTGCTTAAGTATCTTTTTTCCCGGAATTCGCTGCCCGGCACACACGCATTAGGGGTTGTTAAGCATCCCATTTGTAATTTTAAGCTACCCTTGCGGGTAATTTTCCCTACTCTTACTTAACTTCTTTTTTCAGTTTTCTTCCTTCATCTCTGTTCTCTGTTATTCTGATTGTTTTTTATATATATATTTTTTTTGATGTTTTTTTTTTTATTCCTTTGCCCTCGAACAAGATTTTCCGTTCCGTTCAGTTGGCAAACGACTTTGTTTACTTTTCAAATAAAATGATATCGTCTATAGTCTGTGATACTTTAGTGCCATTATTGAAATTAAGTGAATGATAATTTTTCCTGTTTGCGGGTGATGCGGTCATATCGCATCAGGGGATGGTTGGTTGATTCCTTGGTAAGTTGGTAGGTTGGTAGGTTGGCGAACTGTGCGCTCTATACGCTGAGTGATTGTTTGATTGTCTGTCTTTCAGAGCAGACGAGCTGCGATGCGATGCGATATGCTGTGATGCCATACAGTGATGTGCCTGATCCAACGCAATGCGTTACTAGACACACATAATCCAGCAAAATTACAGCTTTGTTCACGTTAATGGTAATATCAATATCCACGTTCTGTACATGGACGTGTACATGTTCACAAAGTGAAACCTCTCAATTAGACGAACAACTAAATAAACAATATGATTTTCTCATATGACTGCACTCAATTGGTTTCGCGCGCTGGAAAAACAAATGCAGAATTGGAATTGTGACCGCATAATTTGAATTAATAGAAAAACAAAACAAGAACAATCCATTGTAAGGATACCATACCCATACTGATATCTCACATCAGAACAGCAAATAGCCGCAGAGCTGCAGAATAATTCATTTTACATAAACAGTTCGATTGTGAAATACAAGGATTTGTTTTATTAGTACAATGAGGAGTACTAAATGTACTAATGGTAATTATAATAAAAATTGTACTATCAGTTGAGATTCTCATAAAATGCATTTCTTTCAATAGAAGGAAACTATAGTCAATTTCCTCTAAGGACAAATTTAAAATGATTTAAAAGTCGAAGATATTAACTTAAATGAATTAAGAAGTTTGATTTTCCTATAAATTAGTAAAAAGTCATTCTAAATAAAAAAGTTTTAAGATTAAAAAAAGAGTATCCTTTAAGAAACAATAATATTATCTCCACCGAATTATAAAGTTCCGAAATCTACGATGAAGTGTTATTTAAAATACACAAAGATAACAACTCCGTATTATTGAAAAGTAACATATCCTTCCATCGTGTTTCGGCCTTTAGAATTAACTGAATTATTTTATAAAGGAATGTACCTTGATTTAAAATAACAAACCAATAAGGTTTACAGGGGGCGCAACAGATCCAATTATTGTTGCAGTGCACAACAGATTCATTGGGTCTATTTCCACTTACAATCACACAATTTCTTTTAATTTAGAACTAATTAGTCAATAGCAGCAGTAGTAGTAGTTTTTGTCAATAACTACTTTGAATGAGGGAATAGACAGTCCTCTTGACAATATAATACATAACACTAAAACACTAAAATAAATAACACTCAAGGAAAAAAAACTTAACACAATTCTGGCTATGTCATTGCCTACTGTGCCGAGTATTTAAACGTAATTTTATCGTTTGAAATTATTATATTTAAAACTCTACCTACATTAGATTCTGATATTTCCACCGGTTTTCTATTTTCGTACTACATTCTGAAGACATGTTGGACGCTGATAGTACACAACATTTCCTAATCTTAATCTTAACCGAACTATCACACAATATTAAAGCAA